TATTATGGTGAGTGACGGTTTCAGTTTGGTCAAGTGTCGCTTTGTTTTCAAGCATAACCCCGTAGTACTTAAACCCGTTACAATCTCATCTAACTATCATCAATTTTGATTTAACACTTCTCTTTTCATTTTCCTTTATGCTCCATCCTATTACTTTCAATAGATTATAGTTAAACCATCTTTTGTTTGTTTATTAGTATTAAGAGTTCATCGAGTACGTGATGTTTCTTAGCTTTAATAGTTAAGCAACGCGTGGTGAGAATCTACTTGAATGAACAACTGGTAACCTTTACCAATTCAAGATATAGTAGAATAATAGTGCAATATAAAGATTTGCTATATACTATATTTTGATTAATGAAAATCTAATAATTAATTATTGCATCATTGAAAGCGCTCATTAATAGAATATATTATGAAATATAATAAGACAGTTCCGAAATTACAATTCATTACTATCTAATTTACAACTATCAATTGAGTATAGCTATAGGATATTCATGCAAATTCATTCAACGCAAAATACGGTTTACAATTTGATAATGAAGACTAATAATTTGTGATGCATATATGGATATATGTATAATTCATTTGGCAAATCGAGTTACAAAAGACTTACATGATTATTTGTCAACAATACAATGCTCAATCTTCATTTCAACTAAATTTAAATCTTGATCTATAACATTTATATCCATAATCATCCAATAATAATTATGGATTTCTACTGAATGAATCTTTTAATTACGTGATTTACAGAACAATAACTGTTTACAATAGCAGTGGAAGTTTTATATACTAATTATGTGGAAGCGCTATTCTCAGTAGCAGAATGCGTTTGTCTATTATTAGAATTCACATGTGTTTTGAAATGGTTATTATCTATCAAGACAAGAAAGGCCGGAACAATAGTCTGCTGATCACAAATTTGTATTACATAATATTTGGTTTTGATAAAATGATGGTAGTAGCGGCAACCATTCATGACCGAAAAGTGCGTTAAAAATCAAGTTGTTTTTAATGTTTATAGCAACACTAAAGTTTATTGTTTTGCAAAACTTTGCACATGAAATAAATACTCGCCGGAAAGCAAGAAGCTTAAAAATATAAAAAAAAGGCATAACTGCCGCTATAAAGTTGAGCTTATATTGTGAATAGCAGCATAAATTACAAGCAGCTATAGAATATGAAATACCTGTCTCCTCTTCTGCAGAGAAAACTTTCGAATGAGGATTATGCATGAGTTGGACGGACATTGTGCTAGTTCGTATTACCGATGCACGTAGAACGACCTCAGTTCTACGTGCATCGTTTTAGGTCCATTGAGATTTCCTTTTTGTTTCATCTAGAATGCATACTTACAAACTAAATATTATAGTTGAAATTGGCGCCATCGCCCGGAAAATGTACTTTGGTTGTTTGTTAAACGTGTCGTTTGTTTGCTGTTTCCTAATCTCGGTGAAATTTGCGATGGTTAGTCGTTTAAAACCCATTAATGGCGACACAGGGAATTGATTTATTTACTCCGAATAAAAAAAACCCTTTTCAGGATTTACGATTTTCTCTCAACTTTTGTAGATAAAAACGCATTATATTAATGTTAAGTGCTCACCCATATTTCATTTTAATTCGATACTTTTTTCTGCGTTTGCTGGGTAAACACAGAAGTGGCTTCTCGACTTATCATCTGATATTCTCGACATCTTCAAATATAAACATTACCATACTTTATTATGTTGGGTTTAAGGGGCATAAAACTCGGGCTTCGAGCGAAAATTATTGGTACGAGTTCTTGCTTATCCGCCGATGCGGAAATTTATGTGGCCATAGGCAATAATCCCTTGGGAGTTTTCATTTCGCCTACGATGACACATGAAATATTTTATCGCGAATTTTCGCTCGAACTTTTCCATTTCCAACGAAAACAGAATTCACAATCTTTGTCTTTCAACAAACAAAAAAAACATCCACCCCATGAGCGTAATTATAAAAAAAGGGCGCTTATTAAAAGTTCCCTCTAAACTCGCTCCGCCCTTTTCACATACGTCTTGCATTATTTTCGGAACAAAAGCTCTGGTGACTTGATGAAAACGAACACGCTCAAGATTTTTTTCTTCGTGTTTTTAACTTCGGGCTTTGAAATAAAGAGAGGATACGGGATATGATATGAGAAAACTCCACCCGTCTGCTCCCGAAGGAATACGTAAAAGGAATTCCGATCTCCGTCTCGCTCCAATCTATATGCGAACTCATATTAGAGGCTCTTCGTTTTGCCTCCATCTACGAGATCGTTTGAGTTATATAAGAATGCATTCCGAAATTTCAAACTCGAATAACTCCTAAGTGAATGCCTGTAATGTCAACTCTACGAAATCCTTTCAATTTCCTCCCCGACAAAATTTATTATTATCCGTTATTGCAGACGTATAAATCAAAACGATATAAAATTCGTCATACTTTAAAAATATTTACTTAATTCGTAATTATCGAACACTAAAATAATATAAAATATCTAATCTTTGAACACTCCTTTAATTACATTTATTTAGAATATGTTGTTCATAGGTTACTTAAATATAAACGGAAATACCGAATCAATTTAAATCTAGATAAGTGACAAACCGTCTAAAAATATATGGAAAAGTAACATGTGTTTCTGCTAAAAGCATTTGCCACCCCTGAAATTTGATACTTGGAACTATATGAAAAAAATGTAAGTATTTAATTTAGATCCGTGGTTCGGTTGAAGCCTTACAAATAAGCTTTCACTCCGATATTTTTTTCGCCATACACTTGCAATATTATTGAAACATCTTCGATAACGTGCTTGTTTAATTTAATTACATCATTATATATTTCCCGTCATTAAATATAATTTGGCAAATGTAGTTTTCTCAATAATTACGTATTAAATGCGATCTTGATTAAAACCGGTTGTCCGGGTGAAGATGAAAAAGCAGCGGGAGAGAGTCCTTCGTCCCAAAACCAACATCATCCTCATTTATTTCGAAAGAAAAATGAGGGCTCGAAATGAAAACGTTCGTGGCGCATTTTAATTTTGGTCCTCCAGACTAATTTTCAAAGCGCTACGTGATTTAGGTTCTTCACTGCATTTTACTAATTGCAAATTCGAGTTGGCAAACCGGACGAAATTGCATTCACGTCGAGGACAAACTTTTCCTCTTTGTCGTTTTCCTGAAACTATTCTCGGCGGTGTAAGGAAAACGAGATCAGAGTACTTGGGTGTCTGCACGAAATGGGTTACCTCCACAACTAGACCATAAATTATCTGCGAAGCTTCGATCTTAGTCGGCAATTTTCCTTCTTTTACTTTTACACACACATAGATGTTTCTCGGAAATATTTTGCATTGGAATATTTTCTGTGTCATGTAAAAATTGTTTACACTTTATATCCATATCGCGATTTATGTATTTCCATTCGTCGCTACATGTTCTTCCAAACTTTTATTCAATTTGTAACACTTTATAAATTGAAATACATAGTTTTTGACTTCAAATAATTATTAATATTTTCAGATCAATTTAAACTTTATTTATACAACTCAAAATCTTACTAACCATTTTGCTTGAAGTTATAATAAAAGTATCTTAAAATTATATAATTAGAAAATAATCTAAAATTTCGTGATTTAAACTTCTGCAAATAAAATTTCATAAATCTTTATAATAAAATGATTTCACTTAATATTATCAGAAATCAACTGAATTGATTTTATTTGATTCTCTATTTCTTGAATCAAGCTCCAAGAAAATTAAGTTATTTCTAGATGTGATGCAATTATTGGATTTTTTGTGTGGAGGATAAATAAAATGAGACTCAAGATCTTGTGGGAAGTCTAATTCAATTGTACTTTTCTGAGTTTTACAATTTTCTTTTAAGTTATAAGTATATTTCGTATAGTATATCTAAGAATACAGCTGTGCATAAACTTTAATAACAACATAAAAACATTCCTAAAAGAGGCGCTTCTTCAGTGTTATAATCTTTTTTTTTGTATTTAATAAATATGTACGTCCGTAATTGGTTTTTCGAAAGATGAAAGGTTCTTACAAAGAGAAGCGAATGCTAAGCTAATTGTGTTTGGAACATTAAGAGCCGTATTTGCGTTGAGGAATATACCCCATGGAGCCATCGGCAATCGAACATTCGCTGATAGCAATAAACCCGTAGAACACGTCTTCCTTGTAATCGTATCTTTGGGATCCGGTTCGGCGTAAAATTGCTCATTTCATCTCTAAAATCCAATTATACTTTAAAAAAAAATCGAATAAAACTTCCGTAATTGCATTTGGTATTAAGGGAATATTGCTCGTAATAAAATTAAACTTTAATATAGTCAACGAATGGCATCATCACATCTAATTGTATTCAAAATCAATATAGTGTATGTATTTGTGATAGATTTAACAAGTATTTATATTAAATATATGATGTTGTTGTTGGAGCTATACAAATAATAAAGGAATTTGACCTTTAATTCGTTGGTCACGAACACGGAGTAAGTTTTCTTATTACTCGCCTCTACAATTGATTTCTAAATATATTACTTCCAAATTATTTGGTTTGAAGACGTTGTATACTATCCTTCCTCGTGATATTTTAGGTAAATCAGCAAATGCACTAGCTGTGTAAATACCGTTGCTGTTCTCACATTCTAATCCTGATAAAATCCACACAATAGTCTCCCTATTCTCCATCGAGGATTGCAGCCTTACAGCCATCCGGGAATCAAAACAGTAATGAATCTATTGTGATGTGGTGAACGTTGACTACAGTGTGCTCCACTATAACTACAGAAAACGGAGACTTTAATGATTTCTCGCAAACCCCCATTCCCATCGAAAGGAAAATAATTACAGACGCAACGCTTTGGTATTATTTGTATGATTTATTATGCTACACACACGACTGAAGCTTTGAATACAAAACATTGAACTCTCCCTTATGTAAAATATTAAAATTAAATTTTCTTTCAGATCTGATTTGAAGGACGTTTACGAGGCGATCAGAACAAAAAGTTTGAAAAATTTCGTAATGGTGAGTAACAAATATTATTAATCTAGCCGTAGTCTGGAGACTAGATGAGATTTTTTTTCTAAAACCAAAGAAAAACGAGACTTCTGGACATTATTATTCATCGCCTGAATTTACATTAAATGCAAATTTATAAATAATTGCTGCTAGAACGCCAGCTGAAATTGGTGCGAGCCAATAAACCTAAAAAAAAGAAACTAATTTATGTGCTGAATTCGCAGAATCAATAGCAGTCTGTACCCAATGAATATGCCATTGGTTGTTCCACAATGCGGGTCCGAAACTTCTTGCTGGGTTCATGCTACATCCAGTGTATGGCGCCTGAAATAATAGAAACCGTCAGAAAGCGAATAGAAAAAAGCTATATTTGAAGGACATTTTTTTTAAATATATTGACAATTTAAACTAAAGGCTAATCTAAAATACATTTAGAAAGGCAACTGTAATTATTGTTTCGTAATATATGTTTTGATGTAATTGCTATTATTCACTTACCGCAATTAAATTTAAAGCAATAACTAGGAAGCCGATTCGCAAGGGCATCGAGTCTTTCAATTTACCAACTCTCGGATCCCAAGTAGAACAATTTGCAATGGATAATACAAAGGTTATCAGCACTTCTATAATGAACACCTAAGACTTTTAATTGAAAATTGTATAAATAATGTAAACAACATACTTTCCATGTTTTCATTGTCTCTAATGGTAAAGTCATCCCGAACGTGGAATGTGCTTCTGGGAAAATGATCTGTAATGTTTCTCAGCTGAGCAATTTGTTTTGAATAATTATAGGAGGATTACCAATAGCAGGCCAAATCCTGCAAGGGAACCCCACATCTGTGCTACGAAATATATTACTGCTTGTAGCACATCCACTTGTCCCATTATGCAAGCGCAGATTGTGGTCACGGGATTCACATGGGCCCCAGAAATATGTCCGAAAATCTAATTAATATTATTAAACATGACAGATTTAGAACCAAAGCATTAGCTTACCTGCATAACGCTCATAACAGCCAGACCGGAAGTTATGCAGGCATTGAAATGCCCGGAAAACTCCTTGTTGGGTAAACTTCCGAAACACGAGATGAACAGCAGAATTGCTGTACCGAAGAACTCGCTTAGGAATACATTGCCGTATTTCAAAATATCTGAAATTAATTATTGTTAATGTTGTATTATTATACTGTTAGAGTAACTATACTTAAATTGAACTTCATTTTGTGGAGTGAAATGGTATACTGGAGATAATTTACGAATGTTATCTGCCACTGTTTGCTAATGTATTACAATGTAAATACTATAAAGATGTATGGCCTGAAACTACGGGTGAAGGAAAAATGGGAAAAAAGTATGCTTCTGAACATTTGCCAATTTAAACCGACACTATAAATCTCTTCGGTCGTGTATATTTTTTTTTTGTGGGGCGAAAGCAAGTCATGTTTTGAGATTTATGGCGCGATATCTCATCGACCCTTGAAAACATCAATTTAATGTAATCTCACCCCGACCTTATTTATTTACAGGAGCCGTGCGCGGACCCCTCGATGGACGTGGTTGCTCTGAAGAAAGCGTTGGAATGGGAACTGTCGCTGGATGGAAGAGATTTGCGATCGCACGCCTGGTATCACGGAGCTATTCCGAGGATTAGAGCGGAAGAAATTGTTAGGGATGATGGATCGTTTCTCGTGAGAGATTGTACCTCGCAACCAGGAAATTACGTGCTCACCTGTCGACGGAACCAGCAAGCTCTGCACTTTGTGATCAGCCGGCAAATTTTGCAGCCGGACACCGTTTACGAACGGGTCCAATATCAATTCGAGGATGATCCTTTCGACACGGTTCCCGATTTGATCACTTCCTATGTGGGTTCTGGACGTCCGATAACTGTCCTATCCGGGGCTAGGATACAGACGCCCGTCAACAGGATGTATCCGTTATCCTTCTACGCAACTAAATATCCATCATCGATGTACCAAAGTCGCATGTCTTCACCGGCTACAACTCCTATGGGCAACAGCTCCTTCCGTTACCCGATGCAAATCTGTAAGCCAGCTTCTCCGAACAGAAATTCCAAAGATGCGCCTCCTAGACTACCATCCAAGAAGCAACGCTCTCAATCTCTGACTCCGGCGGAAGTGAATAGAATGGCACAGGAGAAATGTAACAGTGCCGATGGGGTCATACAATCCCCTCTAATGACTCGCTCCACCGGGAACGAATGTTCTAAATTTTCATCGCAATCCTTGCCCCGAAACTCCTGTGCTCGACTCTCAATTTCCCCGAGCAGCGTTACACTCGGCCGCAACTCTAAATTAAACCGGGTGCTTAGCGATAATTCCGAAGACGAAAATCTGCCCGAATCACCACCACCTAAACCATCTCGCATTCCCTACAACAGCAAAGATTCCGATTTAGATCCTCTACAAAGAGTTACATCATACCACACATCCGGTTCCGACTCCGGAAATGGCTCAGGGGATTCAACTGTCAGCAGTGATCCTGTTGAACCACCGCATCGTTCGGGTGTGGTGATTAAAAATCCACGTTACAACATGTCAGCATCTGAGTCGACATCCACACTGAAGAATCACGACTTTGATTACGTTGCGGCCGAGGAAAAGCTGATGCAAATGCCGCAACCTGAACTCGATCTATCCACGCAATTTGATCTGGAAAATTTTCAAACGATTTTACTGCCTGTTAGTGAAAATAAACCGTTAGATGGACAAGCGCTCAGGGGAATTAAAATAACGTTGAAGGAGGCCGGTTCTAGAATACTGGCGACTCATCTTACAAAAGTTGATTTGGAAATATTGGGGATGGACAAGAGTAGGCCGCAATCGAAACTCGGTAACGGTCTCGAGCTTTGCACTTTACCCCACGGTCATCAATTCCGATTAGATTTAATTGAAAGGTAATAATCGTTCATAATGCTCTAAATTATATTAACTATCATATTTTAGAACGGAGTGCTTAAAACTTTTAGTAGCCATAACTATTTTAACGTGTTACGATGAAGACGACCGAGCAGAGACCTTAAATAAATGGATCGAAATTGCAATCGACACAAAAGCTGCTCTCGGTAATTTGTACGGATTCTGTGGTATTATGTTAGGACTTTGCTTGCCGCAGGTAAACCTTTCAACAATTTTCTTTTAAACATGCATTTCTTATTTTACATTTCTTTTCAGATACAAAAATTGGATACCACGTGGCACAAACTGCGACAAAAATACACCGATTCAGCGTTTAACTTTGAAGCGAAATTACGTCCGACTTTAAAAAATATGAATAGTTGCTCAAATCCGCAAGCTCCAAATACAACGATTCCACATTTGCTGCCTTTTATACTCCTATTGGAGCGCAATTTGGACGATTTTATAACACCATCATTTGATCAAAACAGTTTGGCCGTAAACTGCTTGGGTCTGTGGGAAACGAACACCCAAGACTTCGGCCTCAGCACTTTGCTGGCTCACATGGATTCCGCACGAAAATTTGTAAATTTAAGTCAAACCTTCCAGAGGAACGCGGATATAGTTTTAGCTGAAGCCAGGTTAGATGAGATTGCAACTGATATGTTTAAAACCGAATTCCATTTGAAATTCCTCTGGGGAAGCCGCGGCGCTTACGCAATGTCATACGATAGGCACAGCAAATTTGAGCAGGTGCTCAACGTTATGGCTGAGAAATATTGCAACAACATCAAAGAAGAATCCGAGGTTTAAGTTATGTTTTCTACTAATTTTGATGCACCTCTACTAAAGCAGCTTATGTTAGATTTTTTGGGGCCAAAAAGAAACTAATCTTATTTTTCTTCCAACTAGTGCAACAAGACGTAATAAAAAAAATATATATTAAACGAAATAGACCAGTGCATCAAAATAGAATTTCAATTGTGATTTAATTGTAACTAATTTTAGTTTTGACATATCATTAGTCTGGAAACCAAAAAGAAATGAAAAAGATGAAACGAAAATGCTAAAATTTTTTGGTTACACGTTTTGATTAGGCAAAGCTTTAATTTGTGTCTAAAGTTAGTTTGTAGATAATCAAAGGTGCTCATTTATTAGATAAATTTTCGAAATCAAAAAGAAAATGGACATAAGTAACCAATTGTAATTTATGTTTCCTTTTTAAGGTTTATATATTACTGACAATACAACATGAAAGACTGCCAAATAATTAATTTTCCTTTTAAATTACGTTTTTTTATTTGTTTTTTTCATTCTTTAGTGCAATTATTTATTTGTTGATTTGTTATTTTTTTTTTGTTTGTTTCCTTATTTTAGTTTTATTTCGATTACAAGAACAAAAAAATAATGTAAATGTAACAGAAAAAAATTGTAAATATATATTATATATGAATAATGTAGATTGATGATAATTTATATATTATAACAACGGGTCCTAATCGTCCTATACTTAAATTAAGTTTTTACAAATTAGTGTTACAAATTGATTAATATTTAATGAGTTAAATTAAAAATTAATTAAGCGTATAAAACGCGCAAATATTATGGTAAAACATGTAAAATATTTATTGTATTTAGTAGTTTGATTCTGTGTATACACAGTGTGATCCTATATTAAAGTATATATTATCTTAAATAATAAAATAAAAATTCATAAACATTAAACTTATTTTTATCATTTATATCCTCTTCTGTATATTTATACAATTATGTAATTAATATATTGTGACTCACTTTACGAATTCTTATTAAATGAAAATCAAACATTGGAAGAAGGAGGAAAATCAAGCATTTATGTATCTTTAAACACAACATGATTTTAAATTTTTGAATGATCCAGTGCTGCTAACGTAGACAAAACGAATTATTGAAGCAATTTTAGTTGGTAGTATTTATTTTTGTGAGAAATTGTAGCGAGATGTTCTAATTTATTTTTAGGTTATATTTTGTTAAATTTTAAAAACAGAAGTTTACTTTATACTAAAATATGAAGATCAGAAGGTACAAGAAAGTTAGTAAGTTTTTAAGTTTCTACAAAAATAGTTTTGGTTTTAAAACGCCTTACCAAGTTTTGGTTGATGGTACTTTCTGTTATGCTGCATTGGAAGTAAGTTAACATGCATTTGCTTTACAAAACCAATTAATCCTAATTTTATTTCAGAACCACATTAACATTGCCAATGATATACCAAGATACTTACATGATGAGGTGAAATTTCTCACCACATACTGTGCACTGATTGAAACTGAGGAACTGGGGAAACAAGTTGGTGGTGCAAAAGTAATTCAAAAGCAATATGCTTTGCACAAATGTGGACATGAAGGAAAGGCAATTCCTGGTGATAAATGTTTCTTATCAATGGTTAAAAAGAAGAATCCTCAACATTATATAATTGCAACACAGGATAAGGACTTGCAGAAGAGGTTACAGAGATTACCAGGTGTTCCTGTAATTTATCTAAACATGAAAACACCTATTTTGTTACCACCATCACATGCATCAGAAAAGGCAACACAAAAACAATCTAATGCTGTAGTTCAAGCACAGAAAACAAATATTGATTTGATGAAAAAACAGAAGGGATTACTTGTTGAAGGTGCTGATAAACCTAAGAAGAGGAAATTGAAAGGTCCCAATCCACTGTCTTGCAAAAAGAAGCAAAATCCTACCAAAGTTGATGAATCTATTAATAAAGTGGAGGATGGAAAGGTTGAGAAAAGAAGTAGGAAGAAAATTAGGATTCCTAAGCATGTTAAAGAATTGTTAATAAATAATGTAAATAATCAAGAATAAAAACTATTTAAAACTTACTAATGTATTTTTATAAAAATTTGTTACTAGTACAATGAATTATTAAGGTAAAGGATTTATTAAAATAAATATATGTGGTGAATCAAGTTTTATTTACATAATTATATAACATTGTATAATGAAGAGTATGTAAATATATTTAACAAATGAACCAGTAAAATAGGTAAAAAAAAATACCAAAATAATTATTACAGAATAAATAAATAATATTTTTAATGATCTAATAGTGTATATGGAACAGAAACAATATTTTACTGTAATGAATTGATTAACATTAACGACTGTCTTCCATGGGCAATCAGTTCCTAATATTAACTCACAAAAAAACGCGAAAGATGGTCGTTTTTCGGTCTTTTTGTGCGCAACAGTAAGAACCGAAAACCCTGGTGTATTTTAGTCTTTTATTTGTTCGCAGCTAATACACTAAAGTGACAATTAAAACTAATGAAAATAAAAAATCGCCTCGATTGATTATTCTTGTACGTACATTTTGGCCTTCACGAAGATATCAGACTATAAATCATTCTGGAACAGATTTTCATAGATTAGGGTTTCGGTTCTTACTCTCATTTAAAAAAAAATATAGTATAAATGATGGAACAACGCTCATAAATTAAACTCGTGTTTAATGTAAATATCTATCAGTATTAAAATTAATGTGGAATCAAGTAATAATTAAGGGAATCAATTAAATCATCCATTTGACTAACTTAAAAATGTGCGAAAGCCAATACTCTTATTCCACAGCATTGGCATTCCATTACACTGCTGTGTGTAATATAAAGCATTAAAATATTGTCATCAACATTGCAAACAAGAAAGTTTTTGCTTTGAATTTAATTTGCATGAATAAACTATGTACAAGTTAAGAGCACTTGGGGAGTAAACACAAAATCATGTTACATGCTCTGGGTTCACATGGGCATTTTCTAAAGCAATTACATACCCGTAGAGGTAATAGAAAAATGATAATAAATAAAATGCAAGCTTGATCCATCCCTCTCGTTGGCACCTGGTTAAGGTGTCTGCATTCATTATACTTGTAGGATCATAGAGTCCAGGGCCACTCATCACAGGCCTTGTTCTGTATCTGTTTATGTGATAGGCTATCAATGGTATATTGATTAAAATAGAGACCCATTCTCCGGCAGCCACAAATAAAATGTTGAAGATTAAATGCAGGACGTACTCAGGGAGTACGAGCTAAAACAGAAAATAGGAATTTAAACGCAAATACATTTCGACTAAAGTCGTGCATCTGTCTGTGCGATATAACTAGATGTAAATATGATTCATTGCTTGGGTGGCACTTACTGGGTTAAGGCTGTTACATTGATCTATTGGATTCTTGTAATCGGTTTTCAATTCGTCAAAGGCTATCACATGAAACAGCGAGAAGAAAATGAGAAAAGCGTCCACAATTAGGGCGATAATATATGAAAACGCTGGAAAATTGAACGCCATGATTATGAACTGTACTCTACTGTCATTCCTTTTGACCACTTTTGACTAGTCGAATCCACTTTCGACTAACTTCACTTAAGAAATTGTTTCAAATTAAATGATTACAACCCTTATATAAAATACTTAAACTTAAGAAATTCAGTACTATATTTGTGAGGAAACTACTTAAAATCAAGTTAAACAAATGTGTGATAAAGATTAGTTATTTACACAAGGTGCGGCTTCTTTAGATAAAAAAAAGTAAGTAGAAAATACTACTTCAGATTGATAACATTAAGGACATTTAGTAACAGTTACGATACAAATTTACATATATAACTTTTAGTACCATTTTATTAAATAATATAATTGTTATAATATTTCAATTTCAAAAACTTTTGTATTATTTTTTTAAATAAAAAAAAGTTGATATATTGACAATATTATTAAATTGAAACTGAATTTGCCAAAAAATGTGGAACGCTTCACGATTTTGCGTGTCATCCTTGCGCAGGGGCCATGCTAATCTTCTCTGTATCGTTCCAATTTTAGTATATGTATTGCCGAAGCAAGTACATAAGTTATAACGGTCAAGTTGCATAAGTACTAACCTACAAATTTTTTTGTACACTAAAGAAGTTAATATTATATTTAAAATATTTACGAAAATACTTTATATTTCAATAATTTATTCTACAGAAATTATAAGAAAAAATCATAGTTTAAAAATTAATTCATTAAATTTATAAAATATAATAAATAATATTAAAAAAAAACTAATAATTTTTCTTTTATAGTTTTATTTATTTGGAAATACCCAATAAAATTTTGTACGTGAATATACATACATAAATGTACGGATATTAGTTTATTTATTATTAGTATAATTTAAATAATTATTAAGTAAATTATCTACTTTATTAATTTATACAAATTATATTTGTCATGGACAATGAGCTTAGTTTTGGTTAGTCATCGAATAAATATATTATATAAACAAATAAATAACCGTGGACTGACTTCAGGCTGGTAGAGAAGAAATAACATTGAACAGCTGGTTAGTAGGGATTAATCACTGTCAGACGCTTGACGTTTGGTTATGCTACTAGTTGTGGATTGGAAGAGTTAGCTGAGGTGCATCCAGTAAACAACAAAGTTGAAAGATGGACAATTATCAATGGGCTTTCCTGCCCATACCTGTCCTATTAGAAGTGTTCAAACGGTTAGATTATAAGAACGTGGTGAAAGTGAGTTGTGTGTGTAGGAATTGGTATGAAATAAGTCGTGTCGAGTACCTCTGGAAGTATCTATTCTACAGGAACTTCAAAGTTGAATCAAATGTTGCGTTAATACCAGGTGTGTATGTAATGAAAACAATTGGAATGGATAACCTTTCCAATTGTTTCCATTCTTTTCTTTTCCCGCAGCGTAGGTCGTTTCCAAATATGCGCTGTATTTTTATATTATTCCATTTGGTATCTATTTTTACTTTGTATATGTTACGCTATAAGGAATTTCCGCTCGAAATAAGAAAATCAATTCTATCTGTTGAAGCAAAGTTCAACATTATTAACAATGGTTTAAAATTGAACGTTAATTAATACGATAAGGTGTAAGATAATATGTCTGTTTACTTCACAACGTATTCCATATATGACCATCCTTTCAAGTTTTGGAATTTATGTAAGGTTTTGATAGATGTGTAATATTTTTGTATAATAAGTAGAAATGAGGTAATCTTTGTGTATTTAATGAAATATATATTTAAATATGTTTATCAACTATTCTCTTGTTTATTAAAGTGTAAAATGAACAAAGAAGCTTTGATTTATTTAAATGATATATGTGTGTATTTAAGTTAATTATGTTTTTCCTATTTGTAGGTAAAAACTGGTATGAGGAATTCAAGAGACTTTATTACAATGTTCCATTAATACAAACAGAAAACTTGACTGATCATTTGAACGAAGTGCTGCACGTCAGTTTTTCACATAACGGAAAATATTTCGCAACTTGTTCCAAAGACGGCTGGGTCCATGTAAGTCCATTTTATGTGTATTTCCTTTACAAATATGACCTTAATGCTTACCGTAATTAGATTGATTTCTATTTACTTTAAGTGTTTCGAGTTAAGACCTTGCGTCAATGAAATGTAAATTAATTGACTGCAATTAAGTATAAGCATATTTGCAGCTCTGGGATTCCAAATATCCAGCAAAAATCAAGTTTAGCCATGACATGAAATGGTTTTCTTGGAAGTACACCCAATACTCGCAGTTCAACGAGTCGGATTCTCTCCTGTTAGTTTCCGGTGTCCATTTCGGAACGCCACACAGTACTTCCGGAGAGATCGCTGTATTCAGCATCCCAGGTTGTATTTCCCATTAGCTAAGTTATATATTAGGTTTTTAATTGAGATTGTTTGATTTTCCTATAGATTTTGAACTACAATGTCGCGTTGGAAGCAAGCCTTACGATATATTTGGTACTTGGTACAGTGATATACATCTTTTATCTGGAGATTTACGTTGGTTGGCTCACTTGGTGAGTACATCCATGCTACGTCTCAACAAAGCATGTCAGGAAGTCGAATCTGAACATGTTCCAGTTATTAAAAATCTGTATAGATTTTATAATAGGAATGCTAGTTCGATTAGGGCAATAATGATAGCTAATTGCTTACCAAATTCGGAATTGGTCGATGAGAAAGAGACTTGTGAAAATGACAATGACGTTAAAAAGGATAAGAGTGTGGGAGTTGAAAAGGGGAATCCCGTAAGTCACAGAGACATCGACAATTTAGCGATGTCAAGTAGTAGTTCTGTTGTGCAAAACGTGGCAGCTTCTTCGAAGGCCGTCGATCCTGACTACGAAGTTCCTATAACTTATAGCGCTGAATATAGAATGGCTGAAGCCATTAGTATGTCCGACTCTGATACAGACAGTGACTTCGATGAGAGGAGCAGCATAGATTTATCAGACTACTCACAGGTGGAAGGAGAACCTATTGTTAGCAACGACAAATATTTGATTTTTACAACGGGTTATAAAACGTACACCCCACATCAAATTGGTAAGTAATAAACTGTATCGAAAACAATTGGAATACTTTAATTGTTATTTCATTGCAACGACCTTCGTGCATGTTCAAAAACAAACATAGTATGTTGGTTTCTATACAATCTAGAATTTTATTTTTATTGAAGGTTTTAAGAGAATCAAGCCGTTCCCTTTTCCGAAACGCATAGATCCGGGCCTCTCGCTTAGGGAGAGGCTGGTATTAAGGGAGAAGTTAAGGTCTGCATCGCCTCCATCTGAACCGAACTGGCTCGATTATGACGCAGTATGCGACAAGTTCGATAAGGTTGACCATGTCATTGATTTGCATGGTCACATTATTGGTATGGGACTTAGTCCAGATCACAGGTAGTTTAGTTCATCTGAAACGAGATAATTAAGCCACACATGTAATATTTTTTAGATATTTATATGTAAACAGCAGACCTTGGCCTGTGGGTTACGTGATAACCCATCCGCTGGATCCACCGCCCATCGCTCAAGAAATTGACATACACGTCATAGATTTGGTTACGCTCAAAGAAGTTGGTAAAATGCTTCGCGCCCACAAAGCCTACACACCCAACAACGAATGCTTTTTCATTTTCCTGGACGTCTGTAAGGAGTATGTGGCTAGGTAAATGAATAACTTAGTATTTTTGATCAAGAATTAATTAACGATCTAATTTGAAGCGGGGCGGAAGATAAACACGGATATCTCTGGGACAGGCATTACGGTTGTTGTTTAGCCAAGTTTCCACATACGGACGTCGTGAATTCCGTTGCTTTCAATCCAAAGGATCCTGAAATGCTCGTAACGACTTCTGACGATTTCGAAGTAAAGATTTGGAGGTCCAGGTCAAAAGTCAAAGAGTTAGGATTGGAGGAGTCTCAATTACCAAAGGGAATAGAAGTGCGAAAGGTTAAAAAACCGGATGTGCCTCCGATGCCGAACAGACAGAATCAATGATAATAACAGTACATTTTTAATTAGATAGTAACGAATTCAATTTTAAAGCAATCGTGAATGTATAAAAAAAAGAACAGGGTCTCCGTTTCTTTATTTATTCGTTCTGAAGAGATTTATAAATTGTTGTATAGATGATATATACGTAAGAATTATTATTAGTTTTAAGAGTGAACATTTTTTTTTTATACATCGATGTGAATCTTCAAATATCTATTTATTTCTCACATTTATTATTATTTTTGATTAAGTTGGCTTAATTTTATTTATACACTTTGTGAATAGTTTCTAGTCATAAATATTTTACTTTATTTGTAATTTTACACATTCAAATAAAGCAATACGCTCTCTATAATAATCCTTAATTAATTGTGGGATAGATTTTTATAATAAAAAAGAAAGCTTTAAATGTATATACTTATGGCAATGGAATCGTATCACATCGAAAAATATTTAAAATACTTGGAAAGGATAAAATTGGATTAAGGATTAGGAGGTTCTTCATCGTGCGGCAGATTCTCATCTGGTGGATCCGCGTTTTCTACAGGAATTTGAACGGTTTCTGAAGCACTTTCACTGCGTTCCTCGCAAGCAGAGCTTTGATGCTGGTGCTTTTTCTCTACATGTCCCTGACAATGATCGCACTCATCATCACTGCTGTCCGAACTGCTCTCATCAAAAGCTTTCGGTTTCTTGTAAATGCAACAACCTAAAAAAGAAATAAACAATAAGTCTTTACCGCAAAAAGTAATATTAAACAAATATTCGACAATTCTATTCTGATTACTCCATGCCAAATATTTAACAAATTCAAAGTATTGTAAGTTTCTATATTATCAACTTTTAGAAAGTTTTCTTCTAAATAATTATTGGCGAGAGTGATATTTTTTAAATGTATAATTATTTAATTATAAACATTCCATTATAATACTATTCCAGAAAATTGAATTATGTAACATATTTTAATATTTTGCTACGTAAACGATTACATCAATTTTTGAGAGTTTGATGTAGTATTTGATAACAAATTTGGCACAGGTTAGTAATCAGTTATTGACTGTCGGGCACATTTATCTATATTAGAAGATAGATAACCGAAGGCCAATCATCGATTTAATTCAATTTCAAAAGTTTACTTCGACCACATTTTTGTCATATTTATAACAGGTGAAGTTAAAGTAAAACGTGTTTATTTTTTCGTTGTTGTTTCATTCAAGGTGTGTATTAAAAACTTTCTAAGAGACTACAGTCTCTTTATTACATTAAATCCATCTGAAAAGAATCGTTTAAGCAATTGTTATGAGAATATCAACAATGAGAAATTTTGCAAACATAATTCTTCAGAAATATAAATATATAGATATTTTCATTTACTTTCGAATTTAAATTTAAAAATGAACTTTGCTCTATTCGATTTCTACGAAAATAGTCTATTCCAAACCGAAAAATACGTAAGAACAAAAATATTAATAGTTTTCTCAAAAGAGATTTTAGATGATTAAAGTATGCATTCATATGTGGATGTATATTACTTACATAGAGAAATTTTTTGTAATGTCTTAAAATTATTTTTTGTTTATGTCGAAATCAAATAGATTTAATCGAGATTGTTTAATTACTGCACATAATTGATGTTTAAAAGCTGGGTTTGCGAACAATAATATGAAACATAAATATTTTACATTTAGATTTCTTTTTGTCCATGTGTTCATTGTCTATAGTTTCCGTAGTCCATTGTACTTTCCTGTCCGTCCTCGGCTTCCTCAGAGTCAACTGAACTGTAGGGACGCTCTACAAAAAAAGAACAAAACAAAAACAAGCAATGATCAATTAGTTCGAAATCAATTAACTGTGTTAATGAAAAGTGCAAAGTGTGCAAGTGTCTAATTTTTCGAGCGCGTAAAGTAAACAATCGATGTACTTAAAAATCCGGCGCGATTATGTGTGTGTCTATAAGCATTCAAACACTCGTACAAAAAAAAAGAAGAATGATCGATTACTTCACGCGCAATGAATATTAATTTCAATGGCTTAGTGGAGTCCGAGTCTCCGACGAGTTTACAATTAAATTGAAAATCGCCGCGCACGTTGTTATCAGATGTCCAAGATACTTTAAAGAAATAAGACCATTACTTAAGTCATCTTAAATATTACGAGCGGTCAGTCTCGATCGACTGCGAGCGACACGAATACTTTTTACCGGAACCGAATTCTTGCTGACGTCGAACGAAAGTGTAAGTTTCCTTTTTTTTTACTCTCTTCTTTAAAATACTTGTTTCCAATCCACCTTTACAACACGCAAATTCAACACTTAACAACAACAAAAAAACAGTGCACTGCAAATTAGTGCTCACGTACTAATCAGTATTAAGTATGTTTGTTATTGCATCTTTACAAACTTGAATTAAATGTAAATAATGAAATACGTAACATAATAACATTAGTTATTTGATATCATTTCCATACTTATAAACAAAGCAATTGAACCAATGCGTACTCGTCTTAAATTGATAGGCATTCGCTCTCCAATTAAAGTACCGAACAATTCATTAATTACACACGCAAACAATAGTAAATATTTTTAATGATTTGAACCATATTCGGTTTTTCACGTTAACTTTATTAGTGAACATTCCTAACATCTGAGACATTGAATAAATAATCAAGGAGTTTATACCTGTATAACAAGTAAAAAAAAATTCGTTGAATTGTGAGAAAACTTATTGTTTCAACTTATTTCGAAGAAATCAAACAACGCTTTCCTCCACTATCGCTTATTAATTTTAACTCGTAAAATTTTATGTACAATTTACTCATGGATAAAGGCGACGCAATTTCGTTTAATTGCTCTATTCTTAAAAGATCCATTTATCATGCACTTAGTGAATATAGAAAATAAAAAGTAGTGCAACGTGTGAAACCGATAAAGTGTTACTAAAGTAAGTAATTTTTCGATTAATAATCTATGCAACGCATTCTTACATGCGTATTAATTTAAATAAGTCGTGGAAGTGTCGGTTCATGTTAATATTATGCATTCAAGATTTCTTTGTAACAAAAAATAAACGTGTGTATAATGACTTGCACAAAAAAAGTTCGCTTAATTTAAATACGTACTTACAACTACTTTATTAATAAGTTACATATTGAAAACAACACGTGAGTTATTTCATAAAAAATATATATTTATTAAAATTATATAATTAGAAAATAAACAGCAATTATCAGAATGTTGTTAGTATTGTTGTGTATGGCAAGTATAGTAGAATATGTTATTGAATGATTTTATCTTGTTTCAATTGGGCAATGACGTTTTTATCGAATTTTAAAACTTCTTCGAGGATTTCATCTGTGTGTTGACCGAGAGTTGGTGGAGGCATTTTCACCAAATTTCCGCCGTCGCTGTATTTCACCGGTGGTCCAACTAATTTAATTTTACCAGCAGTCGGGTGTTCAATTTCCTTGACTAATTCGATTTCCTTAATGTGCGGATCGTTGAAAACATTTTCTAAATTGTTTATTGGTCCGCACGGGAATTGAGCCTTATCAAATAATTTGCTCCAATAAGAATTTGGATGTTCAATCATAACGCTCTTGATAAGAGCAATTAATTCTTGCCGATTCTTCACGCGATCTTTGTTGGTGAGATATTTAGGGTTTGTACCCAGTTCTTCTTGTCCTATCAATTTACAAAAATGTTTAAATTGAGCATCTGAGCCTGTTCCAATCGTGAAATACCCATCTTTTGTTGGGAATGCTTCATATGGCACAATACTCTCATGGGCTGTACCCCATCTGGTAGCCTCTTTTCCAGCATTCAGATAGTTTGAGCCAATGTTTATTAAGCTCGCCACTTGAGTACTTAGTAAATTACAATCAATTTTTTGACCTTTTCCAGTTTTAGCTCTCTTTAATAAAGCAGCCATTATGGCTCCATGAGCATATAAACCTGTTGCTAGATCTGTTACAGCAACACCTACTTTAGCTGGCTCACCATTTTCTGGGCCAGTGATGTGTAAGAGACCACCAATAGAGGCAGCAATAACATCATATCCAGGTTTATTTTTGTAAGGACCATCCGGACCATAACCACTGATTGAGCAGTAAATTAATTGTGGCGCTACTTCCTTGAAATGCTCATAACCTAACTTCAACTGATCCAATTTACCAGGAACATAGTTTTCCACTAACACATCTGAGTGCTGAGCTAAATTATAGAGGATTTCCCTGCCTTTCTCTGTTTGAATGTTCACACACATACTCTTTTTATTGCGATTGGCTGAGATGAAATAACATGATTCACTGCCTACAAATGGTGGTCCCCAATTCCTGGCTTCATCTCCACTGCCTGGTCTTTCAACTTTAATAACTTCTGCACCCAAATCTGCCAAGATCATGGTGCAGTACGGACCAGCTACGATTCTGCTCATATCCAGTATACGGATGCCCTCCAGTGGTTGGATGTTGGTGGCATTGCTGGAGAATCTAACCAACTCAGTCACCTTTGCAATTCTGCATAATTGCAATGGTTTCTTAAATAACTTGACTGCATTCATGCTGACTCAATACTAAATCTACTAAATGCCTACGACCCGCGATTAGTGAAAAAGCAGAAAAATTACAAACAACGTGTTATCAGCGGTTACGTAACGCACCGCTCGCTCTCTGTACTGTGGCATTACCTGATGCGAGTCCGTGCTATCTAGTGTGAGCGTAGTCGTAGCAGAAGTGCTATCTTGTGTAGGCTGCTGAGATGTTAGCTGCTCTGCCATAATTACCCTTTCATAAACACCGCACTTATACACAAAATGAAGGCAAGTTCCTTTCACGTGTGAATCAACCGAATACACGATAATAGAGATCGCGGCACGCTATACAATTGATTAGATAAATCTTAAAATTCAGTTATTTTTTTCTTTTTAATCAAACAAACAAACCAAAACGTCAAGTGCAGCTGACGTTAGCTGTCACGCAAACCAAATCCAATCGCCGACAGGTGGCGCTGAATCTAGGTCCTTACCAAATCTATATACAGTTTTTTATTTATGCAAAATCATTATATTTTCAAAACATTTTCGCAACTAATTTATCTCTAGTATTTGAAAATCATTTGATATTGCACAAACATAAAATCTGATTCGTACTTACAAGTTTAAACAATAAATAATATGGTTTTTAATATAGTCATAATGATAAGAAAAATTAACGAGCATCGTGATTTGCATTAATTTTAATCAACTAATTATTGCTTTTCTAATGAGGAAATAAAATCTAATAGGAAACGGTTTATTATTTTCTATTGAAGGATATTTGCTTTAATTAACGGTAATTGGCAATTAGTAATTAACTATATTTGTGCTTTGTTCACCTATGCAACCAAATATACTCAATTAATATTTGAATTTATTTATATCATTACTTGTCAAATTAATATGAACTGTAATAATTTACTTTGATATTTCATTTGTTTCAATAGGATTGTCATCGTTAAAAACAATGTTTATTGTTGTTGTTCATTTTTCTACTTATTTACAATAAGGATTTAGCTTGTGTTCCAATTACATCAGTTTTTATTTTTTACGATTATGGAGTCAGATGTATTTTTTGTTTTATTAGAGAATAATTATAATGTGTTAAAAGTAATCGAATAATTTGTTTTACTATATTTATATTAATTACAAAAATGAGTTTAATAAAGTAGTTTAAAGACTTGACTGAATATCAAAGTTTAATCTAAATATAAGCAACGATTTAAAACGGTTGTTTGATCGGTGTTTGTTTATAAGCTAGTTGGTTTTAGTCAGCTCATTAGAGCGAGTCGTAATCACTGAATTTTCTTATCGTGCACAATAAAAGCACCTGCTATTACAATTGTTCTAACAGAAACAGCTAAAAAATGGATGCTGAGCGACGAATTTACAATGATGTATAATAATTACGAAAGTGAATAGTGTTTTGAGAAATTAATGTTAATTAATGCATTTTTGCAGATAATGGACGCGAGTGTCACCGGAGGAAGTTTGGGGGGCAGAAAATATTATTTCGATGTTGTCGATTATTCCGTCTTCGGGGCAATGCTGCTGCTCTCGGCGATGACTGGATTATATTATGGCTGCAGAAGTCGCTACTGCAAAACGGGAGAGGAAGCCACGCTGCGGGAGTACCTAACCGGAAGCGGAAACATGAAACCGTTTCCTGTTGCCATGTCGTTGATTGCTAGGTAAGAAGGGAACCGTAACGAACGAAATGCTTAATTCGCCCCGCAGTTATATTTCAGGTGTCACAATTTTAGGCACCCCGGCGGAGATTTACAACTTCGGAACTCAATATTGGGTGATCTGCTTTTCAGTATTATTGAGCGGCATTGTGATAGCCATCGTGTACTTGCCAGTATTCTGCAAGCTGCAAGTTAATTCTTCTTACGAGGTTTATTAAATCCAAATTACACAGACCTTAACTTAATTCATTATTTTTACTTTCAGTATTTGGAGCTAAGATTCAGCAGGTCGGTCAGAAGTTTGGCTTCCACGCTGTTCTTAATTGATGAGGTGATGGAGTGTTTAAGTATTTATTAGGTTTCATAATTAGTTTTAAATTACAGGTAATGTTTCTGCCGATACTCATTTACGTACCATCTTTGGCTTTTAATCAAGGTAACTCGATTAAACAAATACTCTTATGAATTTTAAATTATTATTTATGTTACTACAGTGTCCGGTATTAATATACACTTGGTTGGTACTATAGTATGCATTGTGTGTATCTTCTACACTGTTTTGGTAAGTGGTTTCTCTGAAGCGCAGCAGCGAAAGAGCTAAAAGTTAATGATTTATTCGCATATTTCAGGGAGGACTTAAAGCGGTAGTTTGGACGGACACTTGGCAAATTATTGTTATGTTCATATCCGTGGTAGTTGTGGTTATACTGGGCAGTATATCAGTGGGTGGTGTTACTGAGATATTCAACAGGAACGAGCAAGGCGGAAGACTGATATTTTTCAAGTAATCTCAACAACAAGTAATTGCCGTTTAAAGTGCAGACACTTAACGTTTAATGTTGCAGCGTGAATCCCAGTTTATACGAGAGGCAAAGTTTGTTCAGCGTCATCATCGGCGGTTTCGTCTATTGGACATCTTACAATGCCGTCAATCAAACGATGGTGCAGCGTTACCTCTCTTTGCCATCGGAAAAACAAACCCGGATGTAAGTTTTATGCGTTTAGAAAGTCGAATGTATCGGCCGGAGTATCGGCTTTTATTTGGATGCATCTCAAAAAAACGATTTACCTGCGAGATCGAAAGGTCAATGTAAAAATGGACCCGACGATTGAGGCATTAATTATCATCCTACTCTGTCCATCCAACGAGACCCGGCTCTCACAATTGGCTTTAGTACAATTTAATAGTTCATGGTTCGTAAATAAAATTGAATTTCGCTTCGTGCAAAACTTTCAGCAACAAAGTTGCCGTGATCCCTGCTACGACAGTCACGGCGCGAATATTTATTATCTTTTATAGCTCTGCATGTCTCGAACTTATCAATATGAAATTTTAACTGTTTAGCTCGTAAAGTCATCCTATTTCCAGATTGTTTTCACTATATAATTAATACGTGCCCATTACATAACAATTTATCGTAGTGCACTTGAAAATAACAAAACCTTGAGATTAATTACCAACAATAATTAGCTTAAATACGATAAATGCAAACTATTTTTGCAAAAACAAATAGCAATTAAATTTTTAAAATAAACATAGAACATTTAATCTTCGGTAAGAAAAGTAAATCCCCTTGAAGCTGTTAAAATAATTATTTCATTTTAATTATCATATAATTTGTATTTATATTTTTTTATACCGCTTTCATGATAAACGAAATGTAAATATTTCGCTAATTTAATTCTTTATTTATTTTAATTTATAGGTCCATCGCATTATTCACAATTGGCGTAATGATATTTTTGACGATCTGCTGCTATAGTGGATTATTAATATACGCAACTTATTACGACTGCGACCCTCTGTCATCAGGGCGAATTAAAGATGATGATCAGTTATTACCTTTATTTGTGATGGAAACTGTTGGACATCTACGAGGTGTATCCGGTCTTTTCATTGCCGGAGTCTTTGGTGCTGCTTTGAGGTAAATTTAATCAATCGCTTATTAAAATTATTTTCATTAATTTATGTTCGCACTTTAGTTCGCTGTCCGTCATTTTAAATTCTACTTCGATGGTGTTTTTAGAAGATTTCATCAAGTCCTGTTTGAGACTGCATTTATCCGAGAGAGTCGAATCGATTATAGTGAAAATAATGGTGTTGAGTTTGGGAATCGTTGCAGTTGGCTTCTTATTCATCGTGGAACACCTGGGTGGAGTTCTGGCGGTGCGTTGCAATCTGGTCTGCAGATCTTATCATAATGTAATTCGAATGATTGTTCGTTTAAGTTAGATGGCGACAGCTTTGTCCGCAATTGCAGCAGGAACAACGTTCGGAGTTTTCACTTTAGGAATGCTGGTGCCGTTTGCTAATAACAAAGGTGCTCTCATCGGAGGCTTAGCTGGAGCTTTAATGTCAGGATGGGTGTCGTTTGGTGGCCAGTATGCATATGCTGCAGGTTTAGTTGTACCCCACAAACTTCCAGTATCTTTAGATCAATGCGAAGCTAAATACGGAGTGAACGTGAACTATACGGAACCAGTACATTGCAAATAATCTTGAAGTAAAAACAAAGTTGATTCGCTCATTTCTTGTAGGTATATCCAAATGAATCTGATATTTTCCCGATATTCAGGCTTTCCTACCATTGGATCACTCCTATCGGCGTATTCACTGTAATAGTTGTAGGTATAATTGTGAGTTTGATAACTGGAAAAACTGATGTTAGAACAATAGATCCTGACTTGATTTCACCGGTGTCTCACTGGGCTTTGCCGGCCGAAGCCCATCGATTTGCAGGATCTGCGGTGGCCAAGCTCAGGCGGAAAGGCCAAGACTACGACACTCTCATGAAAGAGATTACAGTGCAAAATGTTGAGAACAAGGTAGAACTAACATTTGTCTTCCCATAACACTCATAATACCCTCTTGTTTTGTAGGAAACCCCATCAATTTCCGTGATTAACAGACGACGTATTTAAGTGTACTTAATTTTATTATTTTTTATTAATTGATTAGAGATTTATATTTTGTATATAAGATTTTAATAAAAAGAATAATAATATTTACTATTTAACAAACAATCTTGTAAGTTTTTCGTAATTGTTGATTATGTTTGTATATTATTTTTACTCTCAAGTTTCTGAAATAAGACAATAACACGATTCTTATATCATCCTTCTATGAATGTATTGTTTCAACATAATACACATTATTGATTACATATCTAATTTAAAACGTCAATTTACCTTTACGTAATCACATTACTAAAATTTCATAATTTACCGCATTTCACAATATTTTATAGTGTTTACAAATGCATTTTGAAATAAATTTTTGAAAATACCCTAAAATTCGATCCTGGAATTTAGATACTTGGATCAAGGATAAGTATAATTGAAATTTTGTTTAATATATGTCCGGGTCAGGTAGCATTTTTGCAAATATATCGAGTGTCTTACATGGTACAATTAAATGATCTTACATATAAATTTTCTTAAAAAACGTTATATTTCGATAATTTTTCTATATTTACACCTTTATGAATATAATTTTAGAAAAATTAAGATCTGTAGTCCTACCGCGCGAAACATTGTGGTGACCGAAAGTCGCCTCTCGTCCACAAAGGGTTAATATTTCTTAACATGCATATTCATCGTTTTATTAGTTCTTTATTTAAGAAAAATCTTAATAACTAAAAAAATATTGATTACTTTTGTTGTCAATTTATTAGTTTTTTGAAAATTGCATTTTAATTCTTAAATAATGTTTAAACTTATATGTAATTTACTTTTTCTTTGAGTATGGCAGAAGAAACTTCAGTAGATTAAATATTTTTAATTAATTTTTTTTTTAAATATATTTTCTTTGAACTTTGTACATTTTGTATTTGGAAAAATCATTGGACCTTCGCTGAAAGTAAAGTTGCATTTTCTATGTTTACTATGTTTAACTAAAATATTATTTGAGATTACGGTTAAACATTAACAATGTTTAATTTAAGTCTTAATTGTAATTAGTGGATGTAATGTAGGGAAGTTGTGCTGGTTGTTTTTCTTCTTGTTGTTGTTGTCCGTAATTTAGTTGGCTGGCTTGTTATGCGTTGATTGTAATTTTTGTATCTTCCCGTTCTGGTCTTCTCCAAAGTTTCATAATTAAAATATATTCGAGGCGGTTTCAATTATACGTCGAATTAATACCCAAAATTCCTGAGTGAAGCAATCTATAACGGAGATTTAATTAAATTCGCATTCCGATAATGAATTTATGATGCGTGCGCCATGCCGACGAGATTGTTGCTTCAGTCCTTAACAAAATTCGAACCTTTTCGAAGGTTAAAATATGAAACGCGCGCGGCACGAAATGAATTTAATTAGCTTTACCGAATTTATTGTTTCTTCATCTAATCTTTATAAATATATAAATTACGAAACACACAGAAAACTTAGCCAAAACAAAAAAATGCAGCAAGTAATATTTTTGAATTTGACTAAACATCCTTCAAGCTCATATAATTACATTATTTGATAAAAAATACTAGAATGAAATTAGAGACCTATAAAAATGCTATAAATCTTCATTCAAGACTATTAATTAATAAACAAAATAAAAAAGTATGAAAATCAATGTGAAAGACAACATATAAAATATATTGAAGGTATTAAACTCAATAAAAGTTTTAGAAGAAATAAAGAAACATTCAAACTTACTACAAACTACTACTAAATACTTTTAAAAACACATAAATTCATTAAATATTCTTAAAGCATTATATTTGCTACACTATTTGATAAAAAGAAAATTGGAGACCCTTAAAAATGTCTGTATTTATAAATCTTCATTCAAGACTATTAATTAATAAAAACAACAGAAAATAAGGTTCCAAACGCAATAACAATTTCAGAAGGAATTAAGAAACATTCAAACTTACTACTAAATACATTTAAAAACAAATAATTTCATAAAATATAGGTGACATATCAAATGTATTATTAATTTTCAAATGAATAAAAATGAAGATAAATATACTACAATCAAATACAACAGACTATCGGAGAAATTGTAGAGAATTATATAAAAAAATGTAATCTAATTACGAGAATGAAATGTAATACGTTTTTCTATGGTTATGAAACTACAACAAGGTAAATTAATGAATTAACGTTAGATATACAAACAGACATAGAGAGTGTATTTACGTATGCAAGTAGGGAGGCCGGTCGCAATTTTGTTTGTGGCAATGTTAATTAATAGTTGGGAGATCAAAGGAGGCAGATAATTTGTAATAATAATATCCAGTGCTTGGTCGAAATGAGAGTAAACATTTGTTGTCCGCGGCGACCGACGAAGGGTTCGGATCGTTTAATTCGTTCTCCACCTACCCCCTTCCACCAAAAACCACCCTATCACCCATTGCCCAAAGTTACCGATAAAGGGCGCGCGTGTGACCGAGCTAATATTAATCAGAATCGGTCCGAGGCAGCAGCGGCATGAGATATGTGTATGAGGGCCCGACGCAAGCATCATCAAGGGAGTTTACATCCTTGACTGAAGGATAATCCTGCTGGTCAAGAGTGTGTTTATATTGCTTTGCATATACTCTCCAATCTCTAGTCAAACACTCCTCCCGCTGCTTAACCGGGATGCTTTCATCCGCTTTGATCTCCGGCAGTATTTACGCTGCTTAATGTGTTTATCTGGGGGGTAGGTATACCGCACAAGATATTCTTGAAGTAAGAAAGAGTGGAAAAAAATGTACGAGTATGATGAACCGAAACACCAATTAATCGTTTGGTATTGCGTCAATATTCGGACTAACACTGCACCGCGATGTAAACCGACAGAGACCGCCGATGCGGTTTCCGAATTAAATTGAAACAAATCCCCGGTATTAATCGAATTACCGGAAACGCGGAATCAACACGTTGGTATGGACGGTGGTGGTATGCTGAAGCTGTAATTTTCGGAACTGAATGATGTCGTATGTCGTAGACTCAGAAAGTAAATTTAATTGCGATCGTAACGACGTCGGTGTGCAACAATCAGCGTACCGTACCGAAGCCGCGGTTTCCATACTAATCAGCCTGTGTGATCACTTATTCGAGGATTTATAAAGCCGTTTTCGTCGGGATTCCTCCAACAAATCGAGGACTAATGACTCGCATTGACTGGATTCCGCCATTACCAACTCTCTATCCATCTCAAGATTTTACATACATATTTTACAAAATTATGAACGTGCTTCGTTTTACAAGTCATCCAAGAAATCACATTCCATTTTACTACAAACTAATATATATTATAAATACAAATAATAAATTTATTTTTGCTAATGTTAATGACAAAATCTGTACTATGACTATGACTTACAGTTATAGCTATTAAAATAAGCTTTTTTGTTATACAAATTATAGTAAATTATTAAAGGACTAGTTAAAAAAATATTTTTTTTACTTCATATTAAAATTTATATCAATACAACGATGAGTAAATCGTTCATACATAATGCATTGTTACATCAGCGAGTAAATCACACGCCGACTCAGTTTTTTTTTGCTCTGCGGTTTCGGAATAATTGCATTTTAATTAAATACAAAGTATATATTTATTTCAGTGCAATCTCAATGCTGAAGGATGAATAAATATATAGCCGATACTTCCGCATTGTTGCATAACGTTGTTGCGACTATTTGTTGCTATTGAAAAACTACATGCAGATATAACGAAAACTTGTGTTGCCATTGAAGCTACTGTCATTATTCAATGTTTCTAAGACAACACAGATAAGACGTACAATTCCATTGAGTATTTATTTAGGAATTGCTATTATTTGATGCTATTTCAAAACTTCAGAAATAGTACGCATTTATTATGAGCATTTTAGAATTACTAAAGCCACGTGTTAGAATTATTAGTGATTTAAAATAGTTCAAATGTTATTCTACCTTAGTTTATATAATAATATAATAGAAACTTGTCATACACTTTTAGAATTTAGCTAAGCCTAAAAATTTCAATTAAAAAACAATTAACATTATTTACATCATTAAAATCTTCATTTCCATCAATTGTTAATAAAATAATAAAAAGAATAACAATTTTTCATTTACACTATAACATTATTTTTGTATAATATGTATTTTTTTTGTTTTATTAAAAATTAAAGCAGTTATAATACATTAAAGTCTACGCGGCGCGTGCAAATATCGCAATTGCAAGTTTCCACTTTACATTAATACTAACCATTATATACTTAGTATAAATTATATTACAATTTCTGTTAATAGTTTGTAATATTTGGACTGTACATTCCCTATTAGAGAAGTGAGTTTCGTTATGTGTGTGCATATATATCTGTATGTATATATATACCATATACATAGATAAATATATATATATATATAAATGTAGCCCCGCTTCAACGGAATAATTGTTTACATTCCATTACGTTATATCTTTACCTATAACTGGCTATATTTGCCATGTCCTACGAATTCTGAGCAAATAATCTCTGACCAGTGTTTACTTATGTATATCATCTATATAGATAAATGAATATGCCGTTAACAGGAGGGACTCGTCTTCAGAAGATAACGTTGTAGACAGGAGAAGCGATTCAAAAGGTAAAAGGGAAAATAACAAATATGAGAATTTAAATTAGGATAAATACGAGGCTAACCGAACTGTGGATTTGCAATATAAATATATTTCGCTTTGTGAACGTGTGCTGTGAATAGATTAATAAGGGACTTATTCAAATATGTATGTGTGTGGGGAATTCGATTGAATGGGAGACCGATATTATGAGCGCAGGTAACGAAAGAGAGAGAGAGAGACAGAGCGAGTTAGAGCGAATGACTGCGAAGGGAAAGGGAGAAGAGTCTTTTATGCCAAAAACTAATTGGTTGTAGGTTATGCGAACAAAAGCCCCTCTATCTACACTTATTAAACAATTCAAATTGGAAAATGCAATGCATGAGGCTCCACTTCAGAGATATATATATATAGCATTAATGCCGGAAA